TTAGAACGAGAGCGAAGGCAAGCTGGGAAACTCCACCGATGGTCTGCATGCACAAGGTCAAAGGTCATGACCTCACTTCCTCTGTTCACTCTCACGCAACCGGGATCATTCGCCCCAAACAGATCCCTGCGGTATTTGGGAAGATTTATTCTTCAAAACCAAAATGATGACGTAAAATAAGAAATTAGGGCTGTTAATGTTGGAAGCTTGTTTCTGTCACGGCCTAAAGAAATTAAAAAGGTAATTGCTACATTTGATCTCACAATTCTGATTTGTTTTCAGACAATTCTGCATTTAAATGACACAATTATGACTTTTCCCCTCACAATTCAGAATTGTGAGATTTAAAGTCAGAATTGGGAGATATAAACTTAGAATTGTACAATATATACTCATAATTGCGAGAAAAAAGTCAGAATTATAAGATAAAATGTCGCAATTACCTTTTTTTTTATCCCATGGCAGAAATATCATTCCATAGTTAGTAGATTAAAAATCTAATTGAATGATTTAATTGCCATTTTAAGCAAACACACCAGTGTTATTTTACTATCACCGAGGTACTATTATAGTTTTTTTATTAACAAATTTATTTTTTATTTTCATTTTAATTGTAGCTATAGTTTTAGTACTTTTGATGCAGTTTTGTAATTATTATTATTATATGTTTTAATACAAAAAAAGTTTAGTTTTATATTTTATTTCAGTTAAAGTATATTTTATGTCAAATAACATTTTTGTTATGGTTTTCATTTTAGTTAACTACAATAGCCCTGAAACACTCATTAACCTTAATAAACACTGATTTGCAACATGCAATAAAAAGTAAATGCACTTATACAATTAAAAAAAGCATTACAAAGCAAGGAAAATATTTTAGTCTCCATATAATAATGCAATAATCACAAGAGGACAGTGGCTGTTGGCAGGGTTTATCACGATAAGGATTGTATGAAAGTAAGGAGTGATGGCCTCCTTATCTGACTTCTGTAAGAGAGCTGAGGATACAGAGAGCTTACTGTTAGCTACATATAATGTGACTCTTCTGACTCCAGGCTTCTGCTTATTTTCCCCATTCATTTCTCCATAGGGATTGCCCATGTTTCTTCCATACAGAGTCATGAACCAAACCAACCAGCTCTGAGAGAAATCACAACTAACTTTAATTTGAAGCAAAGCAGGGGCAAAATAAGTTACCAAAATAAATAAATAAAATAAAGCATTGCAATTGACTTTATCTGAGGGGGGGGAAACAGACAAAAGGGTAGAGAATTTGGCAATAAAAAACAACTTTAGAAATGAAATTGAAGCATATATCACATAGGCTATATCTATGGTGTAGACAGCATCACTGATTATAATGAGTTCTATTGTATTTTGTCGCGCCGCGCCACTCGCGTCTGGTGTACACACGGTGTAAGATTGGTTTTGCTGTTTCACAGAACTAATCGTTGCCTGGGTTGCATACGTATGTGTGGGGCGGAGCTATCAAAATAGGGGGTAGGGGCGTGTTTGTTTTGGTGATTTCAAATGTCAAAATTGGCTACCAGAAATCACTTACCCCACCTTTAATCTCAGAGCTCATATAAGGTTTATACACGAGCATCTTCAGTTTCTCTATAGAGTTGTAGCTGAGCTCTACTCTACTGTTGTTCATGCTCTTCTGACACACTTGTGTTTGAACAGGTCAGAAGCGCCACCTGCTGGAAATCTGGAGCCCAACACTGAGCGAAACGCTTTGAGACTGACTTATAATTACATGCATACTGCAGCTTATTTACATGCTTCATGATGCTTACATTTTACGAAGCCTTTTTAAATGTACAGAGTCATAAATTTTAATGCATCTCATCTGGGAAGGACAATTAAACATTTAGCTGAACTTTAGATCTTAACTTCAGCTTTGGTTGAAGTTAACTTTTGTGCAATATTTAGTTTGAGCTTAAACAATAATTTGCATTACCACAGCAGACCTGCCAGGGGTCATGGACCAGGGTTATTATAATTAGCTACAATTAACTAAAACTAAACCATAAAAAAAAAAACACTTCCATGCTTAAAAATAAAATTAACTTTAACTGAAATTATACATATATATATATATATATATATATACCAACAGTGTTTCGATGATAGATGTTTCCAAAAAAAAACTCAAGCTCTTGCTTCGAGGTGTCATTCTTTATTAAACCGTCTGTGATTATATATATTTATATATAGTCTTCCACATCAAACCGTGACATCCATATGACTGTAGAGCACCAGGATCATACAACAGTCATTAACAAGATGAGTAACAATACATTTACTTTTCACAATCATGACACATCTGAACACATCTGTCAATGAAATCAACACGACTGAAACGAGACTAAAATCAGTCAATTAGCTGAAAAGTACAAAATATTTAAGGACAATTCGTTTTTTTTTTCTTCATATTTCTTCCCCCAAAAATAGATCCACCACACATTTACATAATCTTCTTAATTATGCATGCTTCAATCAATTTCAATCAGTTTTTTTTTTATTTCAAACAGGTTTGAACTTTTGCCGTTTAATAATTCTATAATAAACCACTTCTGCAGGAGGAGAGTCTTTAAAACTCTTGATAACTGTTAAAACTCCTCTTCTAAACTTTTATTTTAAAAAAAGAAAACAATATTCATGCAAACATAAAGTCACTAAAATGTAGTCCCTCTCCTGTTAAACAGACGAACTCTAAACTAAAAAAAACGAAAGAAATACTGTTGATAATAGTGAAAACACAATGCTTTGGCAATGGCTTTTGTGTTCATGGCTATTTATTCTCAGCACATTTGTGCTTTCATCCCAAAGACCATGTCTAGAATATTCACAGCAGCAAACAGACACCACAGCACCACCGGCTGATAATTAATCTCAACATCTTAACTTCACTTCTGAATGAACGTTTGCAAATGCGTTAATATCTACTTCAAATGACATGGCACAAAACACAACAAAAGTGTAAAAAACAATCTAAGTTAGATAAGTTACATGAAGGACAAAAGTAATCGCAGAAAAGTGTCAGTGTGTCTGATGTGCTAAGTCACTAGTGTACTGCAAACATTACTCAAGAACTGAAGCTACGTCTCCTCTTTAATAGTTCAGCCTTCAGGAAGAGATGATCAACTCCTGGACAAGTATTATGATCCTGTGATGTCCTTTAAAGGAATAGGTCACCCAAAAATGAAATTTGCTAAAAATGTACTCACACTCAGGCCATCCGAGATGTAGATGAGTTTGTTTCTTCGTCAGATTTGGAGAAATGTAGCATTGCATCAGTGTCTCAGCAATGGATGCTCTGCAGTGAATGGGTGCCGTCAGATTGAGAGTCCAAACAGCTGATAAAAACATCACAATAATCCACAAGTAATCCACACCACTCCAGTCCATCAGTTAACATCTAGAAAAGACGTTTTTAACTAAAATGCAAGTCCATAATCCATAATAACGTTTCCTCCAGTGAAAAAGTGGTCTGAATCAGGAGAGAAATCTGCACAGATCAAGCAGCGTTTAAACAGCTCTAAACAAATATGTGGCTGGATTTCGACGTGAGAGACAACAGGAGATGCACTTTTTCAGCTGTTTGGACTCTCATTCTGACGGCACCCATTCACTGCAGAGCATCCATTGCTGAGACACTGATGCAATGCTACATTTCTCCAAACCTGATGAAGAAACAAACTCATCTACATCTTGGATGGCCTGAGGGTGAGCACATTTTTAGCAAATGTTCATTTTTCGGTTAAATATTTTTTTTCAAACTTTGCGTAAACCATCATTCACAGGTTGTTAGACATGTTCAGACTAAAGAAAGTACTAGAGATGATCTGATTGTTTAAACATGCATATTTTAGATTTAAGAACTTTTAATTTCAGTTTAAGAGACATTTCTTTGACCACACAACCTTGTCTAGTTAGTTAGACTGCGCTGCCATTCCTGATGGCCATATCACATAACTTTGATAAGATTAGCTTATAAAATGACAATAACCAACCGCAAAGTGTTTCTCTCCTCCTAACATTACGTTGAACTTGCCAATCTCATGATCTCCTGTTGACTTTCATGATGAAATTAATGAATCAGGCCATTATCTCCGTGAGTGAGCTCCAGTGTTCAGCTGCGCTTGAGAGACGAGATGTCTGTGATGATCAAGAGCAATGAACTTTAAACAGCCTTTCATCAGCTTTTCTTGTCCTACTTTCAAATGTCATCTGTAAGATTACATTGTGTTCGTTTGTTCTTATAAATGGATGATAAACCCTGTTTTAAAATCATACGAAGTCACTGTGAGCGTTTCAGAAACGCACGAGATAAATGCATTTAGGTCCACAGTAATGCATTTTGCACACCTGTAAATATTTCAACTACGCTGGGGTCAGTAAGATTTTTATTTTTTAATTTGAAAGAAATTAACCACTTTTATTCAGCAAGGATTCATTAAATTGATCATAAGCAAAGACATTTATAATGTTAATGAACGATTTCTATTTCAAATAAATGCAGTTCTTTTGAACTTTCTATTTACCATATATTTCTGAAAAATAAAATCACAACTGTTTTCAACATTGATAATAATCAGAAAAGTTTCTTGAGCAGCAAATCAGCATATTAGTATGATTTCTGAATTTTCACCAAGGCCACATTTATTTAATCACATTTAATCAATCAATTAAAATTTTTGAAATATTATTGCAATTTAAAATAACTTGTTTTCTGTGTGAATGAATATCTGTTAAACTGTGATTCT